TGTAGATAATTGGGGAAGGTGCTGAAGGGCAAATATAAATTATTATCCAAATAGAACCATGGTTAGGAATTCTCAATACCTTGGACTATATGTAGGATGCTGTTTACAAAGTATAGGTTGAAAGTTTCGGCAATGTCAGTTTCACCTTTTTTAGTACTTACCACCCCTTCATTTTCAAATTGGATTAGGTTACGAAATGTATGATCATTACTATTAACAAGGGTTTTTAAGGTTTTCCACATCAAGTGAGAATTATTCTTGTATCTGTCTATTTTGTTATGATAATACTAAACTTTCTTTATCTTCAATGAGTTAACCATATCGTTTCTCAATTTTTCAAAATTTTCCCATCTAATGAGGTACTCATGAGGTAATAAGAAAAATGCCTTTTTGCAAAACTACGAAATCCGCCATTGAGTATGATAGTGTTCCATGTGAGTTATATCTGTTAAGGTTCCTTGAATTGAAACAATAGCTGGAGATAGACTGGCTTTCATTTTTTTGCACTTATTTTTGCAGGTTTTCTATGAATGATATCTGATTCAAGTTCATAACGAATGTTTGGAGAACAAACTGGATGGGAAAAATTGTTTTCCGTATAATTCAAAGTTCATAAGGAAGTAATTGTTTCGAAAGTATTTTTCTTTCCTATAGTTCAATGCTTATGGGAAAGTAGTTATTTTGTGAGTACAATTTTTTATAGAAAGATGGAGAAGTGAAAGTCGAATAGTGTTTATTCCAAAAATAATCTCTCTTGAGAATACACAACTTCCAACTTCATTTTGGTGTAAAGTAGGAATCACTTTTTGGGAATATAATATCGGCATTGATCTCAATATTTTTATTTTATCAATACTCAAAAAGTTTTTCAGATGATATGATAATATTGAAGCTAAAAAACGCAATGAATTGAAAGAGATTCTTTAACAAATGTAATTGTTTACTGCTGCTGTATTTCATTAAATTAGGCAGTCGTTTCGATTGAGAATTATGGTGAAATTTTGTTTTCAGGAGTTTGAACAACAACGATGAGCATAGTGGGCAGGCCAAATTGGAAATTCCTGTTTTCAACTATGTTTCAACTCCGGAAAAACCGCTGACTTGGAGTGAGTGAATTTCTGTTTTGGTAGATAAGATGATACTAACCTATTGTTTTCCAGATGAATTCCGGTTTTACTCAAGAAAACATTGTTTGAGAATTCCTTCAGAGAAATGTATATGGTTTGGATATCTTTTTCTGATAACAAATATGTATCTATGCCTTGTTATGCAAATGTTACTGCATACTATTCCTGCATATTTAGTTGATTTCATTGCTGTTTGTTTGAGAAAGGAACCAAAGTTAGTATTAATAATACTATTATGTCTAATTGATGACTTGTTTACTTTATGGTAATTCATAGATAAAATTTACCAGCACTGTTTTTTTTTTCGATTTCTTCTACGCCAAAGTTGAAAATGACATTCACCGACATGCCCATTTGATTTTAGTTATAATTTAAAAAAATACAATGTGGAAGTAAATAGTTTACTATTCACTATTTTACTATTTACTATTAACTTTTGAATAGGCCACAATATCAGAGTAGGACAGTACTTGTATGAAAAATAACAATTTTCAGTACTTTCAGTACTCGCCGCACGCATACCTAGAGGAAGCTATTGACTTTTTCTCAAATTGGAAAAGGGCAGCTTGTGAGCCTTCGCTCGAAAGGTATTTCAATTCTCTGTTTCGAATTTGAATAACCGGCTGCGAAGTTTTTGCTTTGCAATCAAATGAGAATTGAAACAGCTCCAGAGTTATTTGTCACATGTTTGTAATGTGTTTGTAATGAGAAAAAAATTGTTCACGGAATTGAATCGAATCTTGAAAAAAATATCTGTTTTCAATCATATTTAGGAATTTTCTGTGATCGATTATATAGATGAGAGTACACATGGCGTTTCCCAATAATAAAGACTTCATTAGCTTCATTAGCATTAGCTTCATTTCATTTCGTTCAAGCTTTCAAAAATAGTTCGCGCCAAATCTTCAAATAAAAAAGCGAAAGCAGTTCTCGTTTATTTCCAGGTCGGCCGTAAAGAATGGTCAGTGTAGGATGTCATGACAATCTGATTTGCCGAAAATATTTGTGGAAAAATTTCAAACAATTGGAAGTGTAGCAGCTAGAGGAGGAGTTGAAACCAAACAAATTGAACTGTTAACACGAGCTGAAAAAAAATTATTAACAAGAAATGAAAATTGAAAATATAAAATTAATAGATTTAAAACCAAGTTACATTACGACGTTCCGATTGTTTGTATCCACAATCGTCTTCGAGTGATAACTGGACATATTCCTTCTAGATCTGACTATGTATAGGTCATTCGAATGCTTTTACCTATCCCCTCTTCCCTCTCTCCGCTTCATCGGTTTTAGCGGTAGCTGACTGTTTGGCTTCGTGTTCCATATATTGCGTATCTCTACGCTAGCTTGGCTAAATGCATTGTTGGACAACATATGCGGCTTCTTTGAATTATCTCCTAAACCAGTGTTCCTCCTTGTGGATGATTTCAGCCTGAGCCCACTTGATATTATGTTGATGAGTGCAAACATGCTCTGCTATTCCCGATTTGCTGGTTTCTCCTCGCTGTGTGTGCTTCTTGTGCTCGGCAATGCAAACTTTCAATGGCCTCTTAGTTTCACCGCTGTATGATTCTCCGCACTCGCAGGGTATACGGTAAATGCAATTCTTGAAATCGCAGTCCACGTTTGGTGGCCTGGTTTTTGTGAGGCTGCCTCGGATAGTGTTCCTAGATCTGAAGCAGGTTCTGATGTTATAGTTGGACCCAATTCTTCCTATACTTTCCGACAATCCTCTGATGTATGGAAGTACAAGTACTGGTTGTGGCGACTTCTCTTCCTTGTGGAGCTCTTGCTGTTTTCTAGCTAAAGCCTGTTTCACCATCACTGATTCGTTCAGGGATTTCAAATCAATTTATATCATATTAAACAATGGAAGTCCGAACTGATAAAATGCACCACGAAACATTGTCAACCACCTTCAAACAAACGTTGCCATTTGTTATTCTACTTTTCACAGATTTCGATATCCCTGTATTGTTCCTCATTATTTTGACCATTTCGAAAAATATATTCATGCTGATTCATCATATTCATTATCGTAATATAATGATTTTTCATTTTCAGGTTAGTCAAAGGTTATGAGAAAATTCACAAGTTCAGTAAAGTGATTGAATATTTCACCTTGGGAAATTGGAAATTTGAAAATGGCAACACCCAAGCGCTATGGAAGAAACTCAAAATACAGGATAAACAATTATTCGACTTCAGTATGAAAAATTTGACTTGGGATTCATATTTCTATGTTTATACTAGAGGAAGTAGAGTATATATTGTCAAAGATCCCCTGGATACTATACCACAAGGAAGAAAGTGGTACCGAAAATTATGGATTATGCATTATACAAGTGTGGCGATTGTCGCCCTTTTGTCGTTGAAACTTGTGATGTTCATATTTTCAAATTTAGGTATATTGAGTATTCTTTATTGAATTAGGAATGAGAGGGGTACTCGATAAGTTCATGTAGAATACAGGTTTGATGAAAATTACATACTTCTACTTTCATTTTCTCATACTCTGGTATGATAAAATGAAATAGTTATTTACTCTAAGTGGAAATTGAAAAACTATTGGAAAGGGACACGTCAATACGTTTTCGAACGGTGTCTTTATGAAAAAGTTCTCTCAGGCGGATTCATACTAACTAAATTCTACCCAATTAGGCAAGTTTGAAAAACTAATCATCTGTTAATTAAATTCGCCACTGAAATGGAGGTAAATATTTCAATAAATTCTCTAAACACTGTCATACATAATTCCTTGTTATATCCGAATCAGTATAGCACCATTCAATAGTAGGCTTCACAGATTATTGAATATTCCATTGTCAAAAAATAATTTTTCAAATTTTCAGAGGGACTTGAGTTTCATCAAACAAATTATTGATAACAACGGTTACAAGATGAATATTATCGACCCTATTTTCAACAAACAACTACGAAAACAAGCCATTTACTAGGTACATTTCACTTCAAGAAACGATAGTAAGGGTCATTACATTGACATACTTTGGTGAACCCACCAATCACATCGCTGTATACAGGGTGGTAACAATCTTGCAAATCTTTCAAATTCTGAAAAACGCTCAGAGACTTCGATTTTTATTGGGTGGGGGACAGTTTTTCCCCATTTACAGCGTCGTCACTTCAACCCCGGAGCAGAAGGGTGAATAACCCTTGGAATTTTAATAGGGAACTGGGGACGAGTCGCACATTGTTTGAAAGATCTTGGAGTTCTCTAAACAATATTGAAGTTACCGTTGAAATCACTTACTTCATTCTCATGTTAGCCTATGCTAAAAATGAGCACCTCCAGCTTCCATGCAATAATAGAGATTCTGCTAGAAACGTTCTCGAACATTGTGGAGCATTTCTGGAGTGATTTGGCGACATTCATTTGTGATTCGTTGCCGTAAATCTTCGAGTTATGCAAGAGGACAGAAAGAAATCTATCGGCGAAAGTGCCACGCCTCCCAATTCAGTGATCCGGAAAAGTCTGATCTAAATACTGCCGAACAGGCAGAGCATAGTGCGGAGGAGCTCCATCTTGTTGAAATATTAACAGATGCCCCCGATAATTGTGGTCATTTTAAATAATATCAGTGAGAAGAAGAGGATTGAAAGTGTCTTCCAGAAGCTCTAGATACATTTGTCCAATTAAATTGCCTTCTGAAAACAATACGGTCACTAGAAATTCCAGCCCATACATTTATATTTTTGTGCACGATGAGTATGCACTTCATGAAAAATGTGAGGATTTGAATCAGCTCAATAGCGACAATAATGGCGACTGTGTCATTTTGAAAAAAAGAACATCCATCACTGAAGCAAATGTTGAAAGCAAAATGTGGATTTTCCATCGCTCGTTCACTAACCAACTCGCAAAATTGCAAGCGTCGATCAAAATCATCTTCATTCAGTTCTTACGTTAATTTTATCTTGTAAAGATGCATTTTGTGGGTTTTTAAAATACGCCGAATGCTAGTTCGTGACACCCCGGAAACAAATCAACTTTCTTGTGCTCAAAGTATGTTCAAGCTCAACATGGCCCACAATTGCGCGAAATTTCGCAACTGAATCGAAAACATACTGTCGCGACAGATTCTTTCCATGTTGTTGATTGAACAGTTCAGCGGCTCTCGCAGCACAACGTCTATTTCCATAGTACCGTTCAATCAACTCAACCCTCTCTGCCGTTGTGTAAACCATTGTTTCTTTAGCAACACTGGACGGCACTCACTACTAGTAATAATGTAGATATCACTTTTAACGTAAAAATGAGCAATAGAAACAGTAGTTTCAACCATTTCTCAATTGTAATAGTCCTTTTATCAGAGAAAACAAATGAAAGAGTTCCAAATACATTCCAACTGATCAGTGGCGTACAACAATTTGTTGCCATTAACAATATTGAAAAAGTTAATTATCGGAAAAAACTCTTTCAAATACGTCCAAATTTAAAAAATGTACACCATTGTTTAGAGAATTCCAAGATTTTTCAAACGATGTGCGACTCGCCCACTAATCCCTATTAAAATTCCAAGGGTTGTTTACCCCTCTGCTCCAGGGTTGAAGTGACGACACTGTAAATGGGAAATAAACTGTCCCCCTCCCAATAGAAATCGGCCTGTCTGAGCGTTTTTTCGGATTTACAAGATAAGTAACCAAAACCTCCATGTCAAGTTTTCGATGGCCCACCCTGTATACTTGTGATGCACTGTGGAACCTTTGGTGTAGTAATTAATATTACCGGAGTTTTATCCCAAAACCAAACCGTTATTTCAACACCTCGACACGTGTTTCGGTCACTAAGTGACCATCTTCAAGAGAAAGATTAAACAGTTTAATCTGTTTGTTTTTTGTGCAAAATACTTGGGTGTTACTTACAGAGAAAATGATAATCCAAGCAAATTCATTACAAACTTCAGTGTCGAATAGAAATGGAGTATATAAGTTGACTTCTAGTTCATGGTCACAATTTTATATTGGCAAAACGGAAAGAACCTTCATCCGAAGAATGAAATACCCTGGGAATAGTTTCTTGAATGTGAAAATCTATTCTACATTTACAAAACATATTTTGGCAGATGAATATGAGTTGAATGACGATTGTTACGTGTTAAATTTCGAAGAGAAGGATTTGAAAATGAATCTTTCGGAGTGCTTGCAAATCAATAAAATTGAAAATTACGAAAATTTACTAAAAGGCCAGATAGACTTGAAAACTTTTTCTTTATTGAATATTTCTTTCAATGTGAAAACTTTTAATCAGTGATTTTCATCAGTTACACGTTCATTTAAATGAGTATAATTTTTTTCCCAATATCTACATTTTCAATTATTTTACACCTGCACTGGGTTAAAATTGTGAGTACTTGTGTGGTAAAAGGCAAATGATTAAAATTTCAATGTGAATAAATCACTGATTAGGTATTATTCAGTTAGTATGAACACATGTTGCGGTTTTGTAAGCTATTCAATAAAAATCTGACGATAAGGTGTTACTTGAAAGATGTTTGAAAGATATTGAATTTTTTATCAGATATTAATTTGAAGTTATTCAGAAAAGTCATGGCCAATAGTTTCTGTCCCAAGTTATTATGCTGTCACAACAGAGTTATTACAAATATTATTATTATAATAGTATTATAATTATCTGGATAGACTTCACATCATATAAAAACTTTGATCATCGATCGATACTTCAAATTGCGTGTACATATACTTATGAGAAGAAATCTGCGATATTCCCTGTGATAAATGTAGATAATTGGGTGAAATAATGTTTCTTATAAATGTAGACTATGATATATTGATTCATACACATTTCACTCAACACTTCAAATAGAATCAGTTTTCATCAGAAATTCAGGAGAGTTTGTTTGATTCATTATCTCTGAAATTCACTTGAATATATTCTTTGACTTACAATCAGCATACAATTTTCACGAATAAATTTTTCCACTATACTGTATATTATCTTTCACCAAATTTCATCGATTGACAATTCTCGATATGTAAATAAATATAATAATACGTGAAACTATATTCCATACAATAGTCCTCTCTTATTCGCATGTGATGCCAAATATATAGTCCTAGTCGTCATATTCCAATAAAATATCACTCTTATATCAGTTTGAATTTCAATTTCCTTACTATTTCAATTGCTTTTTCTGCAAAGAATATTTCCAAAGAAATACAATTTGTTGAAAAATTTATTATAATTCAATATGACCCAAACAAACCAATTGTTGTCAATTGGTTTGTATCATTTGTAGCAGAATGATATGCCTGCCAATGTTATGCTTATTTGAACTCAAAAACGTATTTAATATAATTGAAAATTACAAATGAACACTATACTTCAAGTCTTTTCCAATATATCAACAATCTACAATATATACTTTGGAGCCAAAATGAATTCATGGAGAGCAATAGAGTTGATGGTGAAACTAGGTATCCGAGAAAGACATCGATGACCACTTTAGGACAGTGATCATCAAAAAAACTGTAAAGTACTGAAATCATTAGAACTTGTTTGTGTCAGGTACGATCAAATGCTTTGGAAAGAAATCTAGCAGCTTTTTGGTGACATATTGTATGAAACAAGATGTTTATGTAAAATGAAAACAATCTATTCATGCAGTAAATATCATCTGTTATTATGGTTCTTGCTATTTCAACTTCCGCTCGGTTTATTGATATTTGGATTTACTGAGACTATGACTACTGCCTCTGTTCACTGATCAGTAGATTTTCGAAATATTGAAGATAAAAAGTTTCAGTGTTACTATCTTTATTCGGGTTTGAAGGCCGTCGTAGTTTGGAACTGGGTCCCTTAATGTTTTGCCAGCCCAAATGGCTGGATTCTTCAGAGGTTTATTCATCTTGATTTGCCGATAATTGGTGATTTCTAGTCCGTAAGTTGTATTTATGTTGACTCAAGAAGTCCTCCTCTTTTGTTGATGTGTTGCTATTGGCCGAAATATTATTACCCCTTAATGACGTATCTATTCCCGTCGTACCTGTTAGCGGGTTGATATTGGTTACGGTATTAATACTTGACTCATTAATGAGTGACCTGTCGTTTCTAAGAGCCGTAAAATTCTATTGCGCTGTTGCCACTTTAGCATCTTTGAGTATGGAATGCCAAATCCGGTTAAGGGTTATCGCATCCTCTTTTCTGTTGTAATGCTTCGTATGTTCATGGATTTCTATGGCTTTCCGTACAAGCCAAGCCGACTGTGGTATCCATGAAACGTTTCGCCAGGGTGTTGATAATTCCCCGCTTTTGACTTGGATGGTGGTTCGAAAGTGCATGCAGAAATCTGTCCGTATGTGTCGGTTTTCGGTACACTTTATGTGTCAGTCGTGTGCCTCGCCTTTCGACGAGTAAATCTAGAAAAGCTATCCGTTGTTCCTGTTCAGTCTCCATGGTGAACTTGATGCTAGTGTGTTGAGCATTTATGTGGTCTATCATTTACGCATCGTAGCACATGGTTGGTTTGAAATCGAGAGCGTTGATTGCCTCTTCTCAAATTGCTAAATAAAAAAGTTGGCTATCACCAGGCTAAGTGAACTTTCCATCGCTACGCCGTCTGATTTCAATTTCAATTCTTTATTTATCCATTCGAGCAAATACAGCTATAGGACAAGTCAAAAAACATATAGACATACAACAAAGTACAGTGAGTAAAATGATAAAATAAAATAAATTATGTACATGGATAACAAGGATTGCAGACAAAATA